GCTTCTTTTCTTTCCTTCTTTCTTTTTCTTTCTTTCTTCTTTTTTTCCTTCCTTCCTGCCTTCCTTCTTATTTTATTTTATTTTTTTGAGACGTGGTCTCCCTGGGTCGAGCAGACTGCAGTGCAGTGGTACAGTCATGGGTTGCTGCATCCTCAGCCTCTGGGGCTCAGGCCACTTTCCCACTTCAGCCTTCTGAATAGCTGGGACTACAGGTGTGCACAACACACTTGGCTAATTTAAAAAAAACAATTTGTAGAGACCGAGTCTTGCTATTGTCCTCAGGCTGGTCTCAAACTCCTCAGCTCAAGTGATCCTCCCACCTTGACCTCCCGAAGTGCTGGGACTACAGGCATCAGCCACCACGCTCAGCCTTTTTTTTCTTTTTCCTTTCTACTTTGCAGCTGAAAAAAAAAGATATTTTTGACAAATGGGGGAAATATTAACACTGATAGGTATTAAACAATAGTAAGTGGTTGTTTTATTTGTTTGTTTTTGTTTTAGAGAAGGAGTCTCGCTCTGTTGCCCAGGCTGGAGTGCAATGGCACGGTCTCGGCTCACTGCAACCTCCATCTCCCAGGTTCAAGTGATTCTCCTGCCTCAGCCTCCTGACTAGTTGGGATTACAGGCACCTGCCACCATGCCCAGCTAATTCTTGTATTTTTAGGAGAGACGGGGATTTTGCCACGTTGGCCAGGCTGGTCTCAGATTCCTGGCTTCAGGTGATCTGTCCACTCCAGCCTCCCAAAGTGTTGGGATTACAGTGCAGCCACATTTGTTTTAGCTCTAATAAGGTTTTGTGGTTTTATATATATATATAAATGTATATATATATTTTTTTGAGACAGAGTTTCACTCTTGTTACCCAGGCTGGAGTGCAATGGCGCGATCTCGGCTCACCACAACCTCCGCCTCCTGGGTTCAGGCAATTCTCCTGCCTCAGCCTCCTGAGTAGCTGGGATTACAGGCATGCACCACCATGCCCAGCTAATTTTTTGTATTTTTAGTAGAGATGGGGTTTCACCATGTTGACCAGGATGGTCTTGTTCTCTTGACCTCGTGATCCACCCGCCTCGGCCTCCCAAAGTGCTGGGATTACAGGCTTGAGCCACCGCGCCCAGCCTGTTATATTTTTTAAATATGGGGGATAAGAGCTTGAGCTGGGCACGGTGGCTCACACCTGTAATCCCAGCACTTTGGGAGGCCAAGGCTGGAGGATCACCTGAGGTCTGCAGTTGGAGACTGGCCTGGGCAACATGGTGAAACCCCATCACTACTAAAAATACAAAAAATTAGCCGGGCATGGTGGCGCATGCCTGTAATTCCAGCTATTTGGGAGGCTGAGGCAGGAGAATCGCTTGAACTCGGGAGGCGAAGGTCGCAGTGAGCCGAGATTGCGCCATTGCACTTCAGCCTGGGCAACAAGAGTGAAACTGCATCTCAAAAAAAAAAAAAGCTTGAGCACAAGGCTGGCGACTTTGAAGCTGGTGCCAGCTGGTACCTTGGGTTCATTATTCTGTTCTCTCTACTTTTGTGTGTGTTTGAAGCTTTCCATAATAGTTTTTAAAACTAAATTCAATCCATTCCGAGAGGCCTTCCTACGTCCTCCCAGCTGAGATTTAACTTTTATTCTTACCTTAAAAGACACTGCTTTTAACTTCTCTCATTGCATTCCTCCCTGTCTGCCTCACTGCTATCAGCTTTCTTTCTGTAAGTAAGGTCTGTCTTCCCTACCTGCTTCTTAAAGGCAGGAAATGTGTCTGTATTTCTCATAACAATAATGCCAAATAATTTTTATTTAATTGAATACAAAAGATCTGGATTGGCTGGGCGCGGTGGCTCGTGCCTGTAATCCCAGCACTTTGGGAGGCCAAAGCAGGCAAATCACAACATCAGGAGATCGAGACCATCCTGGCTAACATGGTGAAACCCTGTCTCTATTAAAGTCCAAAAAAATTAGCCGGGCATGGTGGGCTAATCCCAGCTTAGGCAGGAGACTTGTTTGAACCCGGGAGGCAGAGGTTGCAGTGAGCCGAGATCACGCCACTGCACTCCAGCCTGGGCGACAGAACGAGACTTTGTCTCAAAAAACAAAAAAGTTCTGAACTGAACTTAGGATCATACTTGAACCTCCACAGTATCCATGGGCCGGGAGAGAATTTTTATTAACGGTCCTGACTGGTGCCATCAAAAAATGATAGCACAGTGGGGTGTGGTGGCTCACGCCTGTAATCCCTGCCCTCTGGGAGGCCGAGGTGGGAGGATTACTTGAGTTCAGGAGTTTGACATCAGCCTGGCCAACATGGTGAAACCCCATCTCTACAAAAAAAAAAAAAAAAATTAGCCAGGTGTGGTGGTGTGCACCTGTAGTCCCAGCTACTTGGGAGGCTCAGGCAGGAGAATTGCTTGAACCCAGGAGGTGGAGGTTGTAGTGAGCCGAGATTTCGCCACTGCACTCCAGGCTGGGCAAAAAGGTAAGACTGTTTCAAAAAAAAAATTAAAAGAAAAAATTAAATCAAGGACATGTGAAGAAAAAGAAAAGAAAAGAAATTATAGCACATTAAGGGAAAAGAAGTTCATTCCCATGATGACCAAGCACCAACTCACTGACTCACTGGCTCATGCATTCATTTGTTTTATTCTATCGAGTGAATAAAATGGCGCCATGGCGGATCATGCAGTCACATTCTGCTGTCCCACCCCATCCCCCAGAAAAACACCCGACAGGTCCTCAGTCTAGTAAGCAGAACGTCCTCATGCTCTATGGGAAATGCTGTGCCACAGGCAGGAGGAGAGAGCCACGGAGTTAGACAGGGACATAAGTCCCTCAGCAGGTGCCTTCCTGGTGAGGTGCTACCTTTGGTGGCTCCTTAGGACCATCCCAGTCTTCAGACCCTGAGGCTCACAGAAATGCCAAGCCGTGTTACCTGAAACAGGCCCAAACGGGGCTGGACGAAGAACCCACGGCTAATTTGGTGTCTCTCCAGAGTCGTACTCTTTATCTTGTTTGAGGCAGAGTCTCACTGTGTCACCCAGGCTGGAGTGCAGTGGCACGATCTCGGTTCACTGCAACCTCTGCCTCCCGGGTTCAAGGGATTCTCCTGCCTCAGCCTCTTGAGTAGGTGAGACTACAGGTGCCACCAAATTACTGGCTAATTTTTGGCATTTTTCTTTTTTAGTAGAGATGGGGTTTCACTGTGTTAGCCAGGATGGTCTTGATCTCCTGACCTCATGATCCGCTCACTTCAGCCTCCCAAAGTGCTGGGATTACAGGAATGAGCCACTGCGCCCAGCCCAGAGTAGTAGTCTTTAAATGTGTTTGAGAATTTGGTTGAGCAGGTGAGGGCTGTTGGGAAAGGTGAGGGAGGGGTACATTGGGCAGCCTCTTCCAGTCCTCCACGGCCCCAGTGAGCCTGCTCCAGCCCCAAACCTGCAAACCCCACTAAGCAAAACTGAAGTCCTCACTTACCCAAAAGTTCTTTTTACAAAGCAATTGAATAACATGTCTGTTGTTACTTAGCACACCCCTCCTGGTTTCCACCCCAACAAGAAGTACAGCCTTCTTTCCCCGCCCCAGACAGAATCTCCCTCTGCCGCCCAGGCTGGAGTGCAGTGGTGAGATATTGGCTCACTGCAACCTCCACCTCCCAGATTCAAGTGATTCCCCTGTCTCAGCCTCCCAAGTAGCTGAGACAAGGCCTACAGGTGTGCACCACCGCATCCGGCTAATTTTTGTATTTTTAATAGAGATGGGGTTTCACCATGTTGGCCAGGGTGGTCTTGAACTCCTGACCTCGTGATCTGCCCAAGTCAGCCTCTCAAAGTGCTGGGATTATAGATGTGAGCCACCACACCCGGCCAAGAAGAATACTCTTGCACCACATAATGATGTTTAGACCAATGAGGAACCATATATATGACGGCGGTCCCGTAAGAGTATAATAGGGCGTATGCAGAAACCCAGTAGATGCCACTTGATACTGGCATTGTGGGTCAAGCAGGGGAAATGACTGATAGTAACGGGACATTTGCTGGGACACTTGGCTTCTCATGTGGAAAACATACTTATAAATAAAAATACATATATTATCTAGGTTTATGTAAACTCTGTTTCATTGCCGTGTGAACTCTCTGGTGTTCATACAACAGTGAAACTGTCTGATGATGCGTTTCTTAGAATGAATCTCCATTATCATTACTATTACCTGACTATGTTCCTTCCAGTGACATCTACTTATCTCCCAAGAGAGCTCTGGTGCTCACGCCTGTAATCCAGACTTTGGGAGGCAGAGGTGGGCAGATCACCTGAAGTGAGGAGTTCAAGACCAGCGTGGCCAACACGGTGAAACCCCATCTCTATTCAAAATGCCAAAAATTAGCCAGGCATGGTGCTGTGCACCTGTAATCCCAGCTACTCGGGAGGCTGAGACAGGAGAATCGCTTGAACGCAGAAGGCGGAGGTTGCAGTGAACCGAGATCACGCCACTGCACTCGCGCCTGGTGGACAGAGCAAGACTCTGTTTCAAAAGAAAGAAAAAAAGAGAAGTTCTAGTAAATGCAATGTTATTCCCCCGTTGTATTTCCAGGGATGTTTTAATAAACCCGGTGGACTGGTGCCTGGCTACTGCCCAGTGAATCTGCCTACTAATCTGGATCTGGGTTCTTCACACCTACCTTACCTCCTGTCCCGCCCACCCCAGCTGCCCACGGTGCCCATGTTGCCCTCCATCTGAGGGAGCTTCCTCTGGATGCTCCATGCCTCCCCAACCAAAACAGGCCCTTCCAAGCTAATGACCCAAAGACATCTTACAGATATGAAGCTGGATACACAAAGAAGCCACATCAAGCATATAGTCAGTACTTAATAAGGGTCTGAATTAATGAATGCTAGACCACAGGAGGTGGGTCGTGTCACAGACAAAAGAGATTAATTGATTGAATGACTGAGAGACCAGAGGTGGAGGTCTCCTTGACCTCTAGCACAGATCAGCCTAGCTCCTCACCTGTCTTCACCCCAGGGCTCAGCCACAGCAGGAGGAGAAGCAGCAGCCACATGGCAGCAGGCACGAGCGGAGAGAGCAGTGTTTTGGGTCCAAGGCCCAGTCTTTAAATATTTGCCCATCCCAGCCAACCCATCTGGTTCCTCCCCAGCTGGGAGGAACCAGCTAACACCTGGGCAGTCGCTGACAGCAGGAGTGACGCAGGTATCCCAGCTGCTTGGAATAGCTCACTTAAGCAGGGATAATTTTCACGTCCTGGAAACTCCAGTCTCCCGGGGAAGAATCTGAAAAATCAGAGTGACAGAGCCACGTAGCTCAAGGAACTTTGGAGATTATCTTTTTTTTTTTTTTGAGACAGAGTCTTGCTCTGTCACCCAGGCTGGAATGCAGTGGTATGATCTCAGCTCACTGCAACCTCTGCCTTCTGGGTTCAAGGGATTGTCCTGCCTCAGCCTCCCCAGTAGCTGGGATTACAGCCCAAGGAAGGACTAGTATCTAGAAAACATTTTTTTAAAGTCTCAATATTAAACAGTAACAAAACAAAACAATCCAATTAGAATATGAGCAAAAGATACAAAGCAACATTTCACGGAAAAAGCTATATAGATGGCAAATAAACACATGAAAAAATGTTTGATATCATGAGGGAAATGCCCATTTAAACCATAAGGTATCACTACACGTTAGAATCACCAAACTATGGCTGAGCACTGTGACTCATGCCTGTAATCCCAGCACTTTGGGAGGCCAGGGCAGGTGGATCACATGAGGTCAGGAGTTCAAGACCAGCCTGACCAACATGGTGAAACCCGGTCTCTACTAAAAATACCAAATAAGCCTGGTGTATAAAACTGCAGCGCACACGATTGTGTACAGTATGTAATACTTGATAATAAATATGTTACTGGTTCGTGTATTCACACTATACTTTTGATCGATATTTTAGAGTATACTCCTTCTATCTATAAAACAAATTAAGTAAACTAGCAGGCCCTTCAGAAAGTATTTTATAAGAAGGCATTGCTGTCCTGGTGATGACAGCGCCATGTGTGTCATTGCCCCTGAAGATCTTCCAGAGAGACAAAACGCGGAGGTGGAAGACAGTGGCACTGGTGATCCTGACCCTGTGCAGATCTAGGCTAATGTGTGTGCTCGTGTCTTAGTTTTGAACAAAAAAGATTGAAAAGTTAAAATACAAGTTTATAAAGTTAAAAAGTTACACTAAACTAAGGTTAACTTATTGATAAGTGTACAATGTTCGTAAGGCTACGGTAGTCTACCATAACGTCCTAGGACTTTACAGTCACTGACGACCCACCCACTGACTCCCCCAGTGCAACTTCCAGTTCTGCAAGCTCCATTCATGGGAAGTGCCCAATACAAGTGTAACATTGAAAAAATCTTTTACATCATATATATAGTTTTTAGACAGTCTCTCTCTGTTGCCCAGGCTGGAGTACAATGGCATGATCTCAGCTCACTGCAACCTCTGCCTCATGGGTTCAAGCGATTCTCCTGTCTCAGCTTCCTGAGTAGCTGGGATTACAGGTGCACGCCACCACACCCAGCTAAGTTTTTTGTATTTTTAGTAGAGACCGGGTTTCACTGTGTTGGTCAGGCTGGTCTCTAACTCCTGACCTCAAGTGATTAGCCAGCCTCGGCCTCCCCCAAAGTGCTGAGATTACAGGCAGAAACCACCATGCTTGGCCCCATATAATATATATATATATTTTTGAGACAGAGTTTCGCTCTTGTTACCCAGGCTGGAGTGCAATGGCACGATCTCGGCTCACCGCAACCTCTGCCTCCTGGGTTCAAGCAATTCTCCTGCCTCAGCCTCCTGAGTAGCTGGGATTACAGTTGTGCGCCACCATGCCCAGCTAATTTTTTGTATTTTTAGTGCAGATGAGGTTTCACCATGTTGACCAGGATGGTCTCGATCTCTTGACCTCATGATCCACCCGCCTCGGCCTCCCAAAGTGCTGGGATTACAGGCGTGAGCCACCGCGCCTGGCCCCATTTTTTTAAGACAGGGCCAACTTGTGTAGTAGACTATATCATCTAGGTTTGCTTGTAAATACACTCTGTGCTGTCCACACAGTGATGAAATCACCTGATGACACATTTCTCAGCATAGATTCCCATTGTTAAGCAGTGCATGGCTCTATTTTCTCCCAGTCTGTAGCTTGTCTTTTCATTTTTTATTTTATTTTAGTTTTTTAGAGAGTCTTGCTCTGCTGCCCATGTGGGAGTGCAGTGACATGATCTCCGCTCACCACAACTTTGCCTCCCAGGTTCAAGAGATTCTTGTGCCTCAGCCTCCTGAGTAGCTGGCATTACAGGCTTATTCTACCAGGCCTGGCTAATTTTTGTATTTTTAGTAAAGATAAGGCTTTGCCATGTTGTCCAGGCTGGTCTTGAACTCTTGGCCTCAAGTGATCTCCCCACCTTGGCCTTCCGAAGTGCTGGGATTATAGGCGTGAGCCAATGGTCCCCACCTTTTCATATTTTAAACAGAGTATTTTACAGGAAGAAGTTTATATTTCAATGAAGTCCAATCTATCAATTTTTCCTTTTATGGGTGGTGATTTTGGTGTCAAACCTAGTCACTCATTGGCTAGCTACAAATCCTGAGATTTTTCCTATGTTCTCACTAAAAGTTTTATAATTTTAAGTTTTCCACTTAAGTCTGTGACCCATTTTGAGTTAATGTTTGTATAAGTTTAAGACTTGCATTAAGGCTCATTTTTTGCCTATAACTATCCAATCACCCCAACATCATTTGTGGAAAATAGATTTCTCAAGGATCTAGAAATAGAAATACCATTTGACCCAGCAATCCTGTTACTGGGTATATACCCAAAGGATTATAAATCATTCTATTATAAAGAGACATGCACATGTATTGTGGTGTTCACAATAGCAAAGACGTAGAACCAATCCAAATGCCCATCAATGATAGACTGGATAAAGAAAATGTGGCACATATACACCATGGAATACTATGCAGCCATAAAAAATGATGAGTTCATGTCCTTTGCAGGGACATGGATGAAACTGGAAGCTGTCATTTGCAGCAAACTGACACAAGAACAGAAAACCAAACACCGCATGTTCTCACTCATGAGTGGGTGTTGAACAATGAGAATACATGAACACAGGGAGGGGACCATCACACACCAGGGCCTTGGGGGATGGAGAGCTAGGGCAGGAATAGCAGGCGGTGGGGGGACTGGGGAGGGATAGCATTAGGAGAAATACATAATGTGGTGATGGATGCAGCAAACCACCATGGCATGTGTATACCTATGTAACAAACCTGCATGAGCTGCACATGTACCTCAGAATTTAAAGTATAATAAATAAATTTAAAATAAATAAATAAGAAAATACTTTTTTCCATTGAATTGCTTTTGTATTTTTGTTAAAAAAAATCAGCTGGGCATATTTATGCATCTATTTCTGGGTCCTCTATTCTGTTTCATTGATCTATGTGTCTTCTCTTCATCAATACCATACAGTCCATGATTATACTGTAGATGTATAGTAAGTCGTGAAATTGGGTAGACTGATTCCTCCCACTTTATTCTACTTCAAAATTGTTTTAGTTTTTCTAGTTCCTTCACCTTTTCACATGTTTTAGAACAATCTTGTTTATATATACAACAACATATTGCTGGGATTTTGACAGGTATTGCATTAAATCTGTATATCAATTTGGAGAGAATTGACAACTTTACTATGTTGAGTCTTCCAATCCATGAACATGGTATGTCTCGCCATTCATTTAGATCTTTGATTTGTAGTTTTTATCATATACATTTTGTATATTTTGTTTGACTTACACTTATGTGCTTCATTTTTTTGTTGTTTAGTGATGGTAAATGGCACTGTATTTTTAATTTTGGTGTCCACATGTTCATTGCTCATATATAGAAATGCAATTGATTTTGTATTTTTATCTTATATCCTGCAACCTTGCTGAACTCAGCTATTAGTTATAGGAGAGTTTTTAAAATAGGTTCCTTGGGATTTTCTGGATAATCATTTCATGTACAAATAGAGATCATTTTATTTCTTTTTCTTACTTTATTAGACTAACTAGAACCTGCAGCACTATGTTGAGTAAGAGTGGTGAGAGTGGACGTCATTCCCAATTCCCTTATTTCCAGTCTCAGGGGAAAGCTTGCAGCCTTTGTCGTTAAGAAGAGTGTTGGGTGTCGGTGTAATATTCGTTTTATAGTGAGCTCCTCTTCAGCAGGAATTACTTAATATACGAGTACCTCAGGCCATGCATTGTGGAGATTCGTGTTTGCAGAGGACAGTGCAGGAGCTGGATGGACTGGAGGGGCTGAGCAGAGGCAAACAGAGTGCTGTGGAGGTTATCATGCTGACTTTATCTTTGGGTTTTTCACAGAGTAGATGCACAGGCAGGGGTGATTCTGTTAGGTTGGTACAAAGGTAGTTGCTGGCCGGGCGCAGTGGCTCAAGCCAGTAATCCCAGCACTTTGGGAGGCCGAGGCGGGTGGATCACGAGGTCAACAGATCAAGACCATCCTGGTCAACATGGTGAAACCCCATCTCTACTAAAAACACAAAAAATTAGCTGGGCACTGTGGCGCGTGCCTGTAATCCCAGCTACTCAGGAGGCTGAGGCAGGAGAATTGCCTGAACCCAGGAGGCAGAGGTTGCGGTGAGCCGAGATCGCGCCATTGCACTCCAGCCTGAGTAACAAGAGTGAAACTCCGTCTCAAAAAAAAAAAAAAAAAAAAAAAGGTAGTTTCTGTTTTTGCAATTAAAATTTATGGCAAAAATTGCAATTACCCTTATGCCAACCTAATAATTTACCTAGAGGACTCTCTCCACAAAGCCCAGGACACTTGGCCCACTACTATATTACCACCCCAGGGTTCTTTCCTATAGTTTTCTTGTTCGTCCTTCAATTATGTGCAATATTCCCAACGCAAAGATTCTTCCAATATCCTCTCCCCCTTTATCTAAACCAGATTGTCATGAGTTTCCGTCAGCTGCATCAAAAAGAGTCACGACTCTTACCAGCAGGTTAATTTTACTACCTTTTTTGTTGTTTTTAAGGAAACCTTTAAGAGGAAAAACAA